GTTATTTGTATTTAACGTCGTGCTAGCTCTGATAAAAGGTGTCATATTTTGCAAGAGTTTTAATGCAGTAACTAAAATGATAGAAACTGTTTTGCATTCTTGTAATATAACAAGATTTTAGATACCATCTTTTTTAGGGAAATAAGGGGTGGGACAAATTAATGCTTTTCACACATTTTTACAGAAAAATGAGAATTAAACTGAACTGTGTTAGACCAACACAAATGCATAATTTGTGTGAAACACTATAAAGTGTGAAAATATTTTCGGTTTGACACTGTAGCTGGCCCCAGACGTTGAAGTTGAGCCAACGATCCCTCAGTGTGACCCACGACACATCCCTCCTCACACAGCCAATAGAATCAGGTCATATTATTCCCAGACCATATGGACATGAATGCCAGGCCGGAAGAGGGCCTCTGCGAACATTAAAGGCCGTCAGTGTTTTTCTTTTTTTTCTTTTCTCTTGTTGCACTTTTGACATGTACCTACATCTTCACCACAAAGAGGCCCCAAGGCCATGGTGTTTTATGTATTTCCCAAGGTTGTAAGACAGTCATGTCATTTCAAATGACACCACAGAAACATCAACAACCACAGGGGATTTAGACTGTGTAGGATTTACATGTTGTACATTAGCAGCAAGTGGAACCTGTGCTTGATTGCTTTAAAAATCACGCAGATGTAACCAACATTATGCAGTCGACCCCTGCCGAACATTTCCTACTACAAAACTTCCTCAAAGTCTGTGTGGTTCTTTCTTTAGAATAGACTCAGTTTTCTTACAGATCTGATAGAGAGTGTCCAACGAAACACGTGAGTAGATGTCGATTGAACATTAATCAAAGCATCATTTGCAGGCTTTAATTAACCATGGACACTCATGACACTGTGACGTGCAGAACAAAAGCAGTTTACACACTAGCTGCTGACCTGTGGGCAAGTGATCAGCGTGTGTAACTGTCGCCTCACGAGACAGCTTCACTCAACCTATAGACTTTGATACTGTAAAAGCAATAAGCACCTTGTTTCGGCCAGTTTTCTTTAAAGATAATCATTCTCCAAAATGAGGAAATTTGTTGTTTAATTTATAACTTTTTTTAGTTTGACCTAAGTTAAACCAAAACTAAACCACCAGATATTGGCAGATATTCAGAAAATTACTGCGGTGTATCTTTTAATATAGCCAGCGCGTCCTGCAAATGAGCCGTCGCTAATAATTCAACCCATTCCAAATTGTGGTGAACCCCAAAGTAGAACAGTGTGATGGGCCAAAAATCACAAACAAGACACCCATACCAATAATACAGGTAATGAATTGAAATTAAAGACCCGTATAAATAAGACAAAAAAAGGAATCAGAGAAATATGCTTAGAGCTCTGTCATTTGTGTTATTGGTGCCCTACTGCCCATCGTTTAACAAATCTGTCTGGATTGCTGGACTGTGGCTGTTGTAATCATTCTCTTTGCTACTAGTATCAGAATTTCACTGAGAAAGTCAAATCTATGTCTCTATATAGTTT